GGACAACAGAAAAGTGGGTGAAGGGAGATGTCGGACAGGGCAAGATATGACAAAATAAGACAAAATAATAGTTTATAAATTATCAAGGGCTCATGAGTGAGGGGGGAGAGGGGAGGGTGGAAAATGAGAACCTGATGCCGGGGGCTTAATTGGAGAGGAAATGTTTTGAGAATGATGAGGGCAATGAATGTACAAATGTGCTTTTAAAAAAAGAAAGATCCACAGGACAATCCTGTCTGTGGCAAAAAAAACGCAGGGAGACCCGTGTCCAGTGTCACTGTGGCCCCAGAATGAAAAGGGGCCTCTGGGGGCACGACGGTGAACCGCTCAGCTGCTAACTGCAAGGGTGGTGGTTCGAACCCACGCAGCCGCTCAAGGAGGGTGACAGCCTACCAGGCAGCTCGGCTCTGTCACGTGCTCCACCCTCACAGCAGCAGCAGCAGCAGCCCCTCCGTGGCAGCTACGGGAGGAAAGCTCGGAGGTCGCAGTGCCATCCCAGTTTCTCCTGGGAAATGTGGCTTCTGCCGTCCGGGGCTGTGGGTCTCAGGAGTGTTCTTTTTGCCGTGGCTGCAAAGCCAAGTATGTACGCCCTCGCCTGACGTTTGGGGCATCCAACTTCCTCTTGCTTTTTTCTTGCCTTTGATTTCTGTTGTCTGTTCTACAACATCGCTTAAGCAAAGGTTCCCATTCCGTGGATCGCGACCCCTTTGGGGGTCGAACGACCCTTTCACAGGGGTCGCCCGATTCAAAATTACAGTGATGAAGTAGCAACGAAAATACTTGTATGGTTGGGGGGGGGTCACCAACAGAGGAGGAACTGTATTAAAGGGCTGTGGCATTAGGAAAGTTGAAACCCATTGGCTTAGAGCTCTCTTTGTGGTTAACTGCTGTTGAGCTAGCCCTTGACTTAGGGCTATCCCTCCCCAGGATCAGTCGAGGATCGGGCCATTGTGATCCATAGGGATCCACAGTCTGTTGTGGAAGCAGCTCTCCAGGTCTTTCTCCCTAGTCTGTCTCCATCTAGAAATTCCACTGACTCCAGTTCGGCATCAGAGCAGCACGCAGGCCTGCTGGACAACAGGCATGAAGTGCCCTGGCCAGGCTCAACTCGGTCTCCTGCTTCTAATTCCTAAACGACCTGACATTCTATTCCAGAATCAAAAGGCACCCTCAGGATGCCAAACAATGACATAAAGTCCCGAGTCATGGGACCCACAGAGCTGTTTGTACCTCTGGCCCAGTAATTCTACTCCTGGAAACATAGCCTAAGGAAGTAATTCAATTGAGGCCAAAAGCTCTGTGCACATAATGGCATTTGTGGCCATGTGGGCCAAAAATTGGATCTCCCCAAAGTGGCTAACATGAGGGAAAGGTTCAGTGCATCACCGCAGGGCATTACCGTAAGGCCACCTGATGCCGTGATTACACTGGCCGCGGATGGAGATGTGAAGAAGCACTAAGCAGCCGTGTGAGGTGCGAGAAGCAGGAGGCCAAATGGGATGCCTATTAAGTCCCTAGGATATCAGAGGACCACCTGCCCACCACCACCACCACCGCCACCGCCGGCCCCTTTTTATTACGTCGCCATGTTTTCTGTCTTTTTCATTTCAGAAGCCAAATGCCCTCAAAGCAGGGGCAGGCCTGGACAACGGCAGGGCAGGGCAGGACAGGACAGGACTCACGCTGCCCATGCTGCCCACGCAGCCACAGGGCCAGCGGGTCCTGTGTGTGTGTCTAGATGTACTAGTCGCTCTTAGAGCTGGTTTTTAACCACACTGACGGCCCCTTCCCGACCGCCACACTTTAGGGTTCGGCAAAGTGAGAAATTTGGCCATCTCCACACCACCCCAAAGACAACCAGGGCCTGGGTGCCCCGTGACCCGGTCTCCTGGGAGAACAACAGGGCTCTATGGAAAACGAGCGGCTGAGAGCTTTGGTACAAATGAGGCAGGGGCAGGAGCAGTCCCAAGCCAGGCAAGGCTCCTAAGAGAAGGCTTCCTGGCAAGGGGCCCGTGAGCCAGGCCCTAAGCAGGAGCCAGGGTGGCTGTCCCCGTGGGAGGAAGGGCAGGTGTTGGGCAGGTCCAAGGCCAGGACCTTGGTGGGAAACAGCAAGGACAGAGGGAGGTCACAGTCACGCTCCAGAGCATGCAGGGTCCATCAGAAGGGACAGGGGCTGTCCTGGGTCTCCCTCCATACCACCACCACCCGCTGCCATCGAGTGGATTGCGACACACGGGGACCCCACGTGTGTCAGTGTAGCACTGTGCTCTGTGGGGTCTTCACGGGCTGGGTTTTCAGAAGCAAATCGCCAGGCCTTCTTTCTGAGTGGACTTGACCCTCCCACCTTTCAGGGACCAGCCAGCATGTTTCCTGCGTAGACCACTCAGGCTCCCCGATAACAGCAACCGTTGATGGCAGTGCCGTCTGGCCGGTAGTGACACGTAAGACCGAGAACTGCCCGACAGGGTGTCTCAGCTTCACAAAAACAGACGTCAGGTCTTATCTCCTACTGACCCACCCTGGTCAGTATCGGAGTGTGGGGCCACAGTGCCCACTGGATGCCGGCAGTGGCAATAGGAACATATACTGACCTGGTACCTGTATACTTTGCTCCAGGAACTGCTGGTCATTGGTCCACTTTCTTGCAACAAACGTGTATGCAGGCACCGAGGTGATTCCACCCCACATTTTCCTGCCTCCACCTGCTCCCACTGCCTCCCCTGGGTGGCCCGAGTGTCCTTAGATCTGTGAAAGCTTCCCGGTCTTAGAGCCTTCTCAACTCATAGCTTCTACAGTTGCTCTCCTGGTCGATTCTAGAATCTGCCGTGGGTGTCTGAGAACGACCCAAAGTGGGCATGGGAGGGGGACCCTGGGGTGCAAGTATGGTATTGCTGCCTGGACAGCCTGGGGCAGGGAAATGGCATGCTAAAGCAATGCCTGAGGAGATAGGGGAGGCAAGGGACCCTCTGCGGGGAAAGGGAGCTGGGGAAACTAGGTGAGAGGGGCTACGGGAAAAGGAGCAGGTCAGATGGTGACGCGCGGGCTGGTCTTCATTCAAGTGCCACCCTCACTCTACAGACCGGGGAAGGGGCTCTGCTTCAGGGCAATGCGTTTTGCTCCAGGATTCCTTCTTAGAAGAGCCACATTCATTCAAACCTCCCTGTAGGGCAAGGGCAAAACTCACCTTCCTGCGGGAATAAAGGCAAAGCCCCACCCGCATGCTCAGCACAGAAAACCTGCCACGTGCTGCCTTCACCTTCGGATCTCGAAGTGGGTGGCCCCCCAAATGAATGACGACTACCTCTGACCATGGCCTTCTATCACACGCATTTCCACACCAGCGTGCATCAAGCCAGACCACAAACCACCTCTTGGGGAATGAATGGGTGGATGAGATGTTGGAGGTGTTTTTAAAGGATAACAACAGTGAATTTAGAAAGAGCCACACCAGCGACACCTAAATCCGGGCCCACCTTTAGAGACATGTAAACAGCAGGACAACAGGACGCCTGCTGACCGCTGACAGAGAAGGTGGACTGAGCCGGCCTTTCTCGGCTCCTGTTTCAGTGGCACCACCGTGTGGCAGCAGTATGACACCAGCATTCACACACGGCGGGTCGGTCACACACCAGCCAGGGCAAAGCAGGACGCCGCGTCTGCCATCGGGTCCCTCCCGACTCACATGGACCCTGCAGCACAGACTGGGACTGCCCGGTGGTTTATGGGAGCAGGAAGCTACATCGCCCTCTGTCGAGGAGCTGGTGGGTTCGAACTGCCGGCCTTTTGGTTAGCAGCCTAGCCCGCAAAGGCGGAATCCTCATCGCTGCTCTCCAGCTTTTGAACCTTGCCATTCCGGAGGAGTCTTTAACTTGGGGGGGGAGTGGGGGAAGACCTATTCTCAGCTTCTGGGCCCGGTTTTCAACTCATAGGTTCCCCACATGACAGGGTAGAACGACCCCACTGCCCGCCAGAGTCTTGGAACCTGTCGTCTTTATCTTTATAGGAAGACAGGCCCCCAGGCCTTCCTCCCTCACAGGCCAGCCACTTCACCACCTGGGCTCCCTCCCAGATATTTTAATATGGTTCTACTTCTAATTCGAAAAAGAGAGAAGCCCTGCCCAGGAGCTTCACGCTGGGCTGGGGCCCCAGCGGTGGAGCAGACTGAGGCTGTGGACGATGGGCATTCTCAGGCCCAGGGGGCAGTGCTCTGACAGTCCTGGGGGCAGCCCTGCTCGGTTCTCCCCACCCTCTGGAAGAAAGCACGGAGGGGCAGGTGCCGGCAGGCACTGAGGACGCCCGGGCAGAGGGGGCTTAACCCGCTGCCATCAAGCGGATTCCAACTCAGAGTGACCCCACAGGATGCAGTGTCACCGGCCCTCAGGGTTTCTGGGATGGTCACCTTCTCGGTGCGGAAAGAGAGAATGGAAACGCTTTGGTTTTCCTTGTCCTCATTCTCCCAGTCCCCCAGCAAACGAGACCCTCAGGAAAAGGGAGGCCTTCACTGAGCCGGAAGGATCTAACCCCTGGCCTGTGGACTTCCCGAGCCCAGGTCTTGGGGGGCTGTGTGGGGGCCGAAGGGCTGTTCCTTCTCCTTCTCTCGCCTCTCTGTTTGGCCGAGTCTCTGGAGTTGAGTTTGTTAAACGAGCCCACGATGCTACTGCCCCAGAGACAGAAGGCGGAAACCCACAGCCAAACCAGCTGCTGCCAGGGCAGTTCCACCACGCAGCGACCCCGCCCGCCCGCCCGAGTGTCTCAGAGAAGCACCGCAAGCCCGAGCCCTTTCAGGGCTGGTGCCTTCAGAGTGACCCACCAGCCCTTTCTTCTTCGGCACCTCTGGATGGACTCAAACTGCCAACCGTTCAGAGAGTGGCAAGCACATCAGCTCGTGATACCACCCAGGATCCCAGAAGTCGACCCTCCTTGGAGAAGTGGGCAAAGCTGCTCTAGCTAGATGGAGGGGCGGCCATCCGCCCACGAGTGACTCCCCTGGGGACCCTCTGATGGCCTAGTGGTGAGTGCTGAGAAGGGCTGGGGAGAGAGGGCGGCAGGGCTGGCCCTCAGGGAGCCAGGCTGGGGGCTGCTTACCCCCGCCACAGGCCTGGATGAAGAAGAGCTTGGGCTTCCCTCCCAAGCTGGGGCAGCCAGCCCCGTTGAAGATGTTCACGAGTCTCTCCACAGACACGGAGCAGCCATCTGTGCCATACACGGCCCCCGGGAACTGGCGGTGACTAGCCTGGAAGACCAAGAACCCTGGTTATGAAACCAAGAAGTTGGAGCAGGAATTCAACAGCCTTCTGGGACTTGATCGGGGGACAAGCCTTCAAAAGGTCTCAAAGTGCCCTGGTTAACATCCATTCCAGGAGTCTTCCGCTCAAGTGCCTCCAGGTGCCAGGTGGCCTCCCAGTGAGACACGGAGGTGGGGTGGAGCTGGTGAACTGGACTGTGCCTGCCGGCTCCCTCAGCGTCCATGGGGCCCACAGCATCAGCATCACCTGGGAACTTGTAAGCAATGTCCCCGCAGAGTTCCTGGAGGGGGAGACCGGCAATCTGGGCTCTCCAGAGCCCTGCAGGTACCGCACATAGAGCAGGCCTGGGAACCCTGCTCTCCATCACTTCGTCTTACACTGCAACGTGCGTGAGTCACCGGGATCTTGCAGAAGAGCTGCTCCCCAGTGAGCAGGCCCAGGGTGGGGACCTGTGCAGGGGCTGCACTGTGGGATAGGGGGAGACAGCCCACTATAGGTCAGCGGCTGTGAGGATGTCAGCCTGCTGAGGCCATGCTTCTCTGTGAGGTTTTTTCCCCACGAGTCTCGGATTTGTGTGAAATGGGCCAGTTGTGAAGAGACTGTGCAGAGCAGGAGGGTGGGGGGTGGTACAGGTCCCCGTTTGTGACTTCTGCTCTGCCCACGTCCCTCAACTTGAGAGAGGAGGAAACTGGGGCCCAGGAAAAGGCAGGGGCTTGGCCACAATACCTAACCTACTAGGGACCAGTCCAGAGAGGGCCCAGTGTCCAAACTGGCACCCAAGCCAAGGGCGGGAGTGAGGCCCTGAGGCTGGGACAGGCGCTCAGAGGAGTGCTGGGCTGTCCCGGCTCTGGGAAGGCAGGAGGTCTGTGAGCAAAGTCTGTGGGTCTCCCTTCCCCAGATGGCTTCTCTAAGGACCTCCACCCAGGAAGGAGCATCAACTCCTCTTCAGAGGTCCAGATGGCTGCCAGAGCCACATCAGGGCTGGTGGACCCTTCCCCACACCCTTCCCCACAAAGATACAGGCAGGGGCAAGGATCCGGCACCACTTCTCAGCTCCCTCACTCTGGGCCCACCCGAGGGACAGAGGCCACCTACCTCACAGCCGTGGGAGAGGATGACCACCACACAGCAGTTCAGTGCGCCGTGGTCCCGCCGTGCCAGTGCCACCAAGGCCTGGAGCATGCCCTGCGAGAGAAGGATGCAGTCCAGCCAGAAGGCTGAGGAATCGGGTCCCCATTCTGGGCCTGGCCTGAGGTCTGCCTGGGCAGGGCACTATCTGCTCCCAGGGGCCACATGCTAGAGACATGACAGCCATGGTGGTCATGCTGTACATGCCTGGGGAGCATGCTGCACTGGGGTGCCAGTTCCCTTCACCCTTACAACCACCACATGGGGATAGGGATGGTTACTATTCTCCAGACAGGGAAACTGAGGCACAGAGCAGTCACCCAGCAAATAAGGGAAGGAGTCAGTGCTGTCTGATTGCGTCTGAACCGCTGGACCACACGGCTTTCCACAGCCTTAGAGTCAGTCCTAAGAGGTCATCTTGGGGCACCAGCTTGCCTTTGGGTCCCTCAAGGACACTTCCCTGTCCAGACCCTCAACCCTCCCCATGGGTGGTGACCGTACCTGGGCAGTGAGGTCACACTTCACCTCCACTGTGAAATGCAGCTTTTGGAAACGTTGCTGCAGCTTCTCACAGTCGATATTGGAGCCAGTGCGGAGGCCAAGCTGAGACTTCAAGCTGAAGTTCATGTTGTTGATAATGAGGCAGTAACCACAAGGGTCAGCATCCAGCACATATGCCTGTTCAAATACAGGGACCAATGTGGACCCAGGACCTCACGCATGCCTCTGAAGACAAGGCAGCCCCCCAGGTGTTGCGTATGTGGCTGAGGGTCTGCAGAGGCGGGGCACAGGGTGGTGGTGCTACCTCCCACTGTAGGAGGGACAGGGTCTTCACCAGCACCCCAGGGCAGAAGAGAGCAGAGCACAAGGCAGGTAGGTTGGCGTCAGTACCTCTCTGTGTCTCCTCCTCAACTCTCCCCCCACACGTGTTGGAATCCTACCCCTTAGACCTGTGGGTGAGATACTGTTTGGAAACTGCTGTTCTTTATGTTAAGAAGGTCACGTCGGTGTAAGGTGTGTCCTAAACCTCATTGCTTCTGAGTTATAGCAAACGGCTTTCTGAAAAAGCCGGGCGGCACCTGTGCAAGGTAGAACCTGCCAGAGAAGGAAACTGCACTGGGTGTATGTGACTGGGTATGGGCTTCCCCAGAGACAAGGAAGCACACAGTGGGGAGGAAGCTGAAGCCAGGGCAAGACCACCCAGGAAGTGAGGACGGGCAGGGCCACAGGACCTCCCCCCGGAGCCCAGAGAGAGCTTTCAATTGGGGTTTGTAGTCCCTACACTTGGAGATAGGAGCCCTGGTAGCACAGTGGTTACACATTGGACTGCCAACCACAAGGTCAGCAGTTTGAAACCACCAGCTGCTTCTTGGGAGAACGTCGAGGCTTTCTACTCCTGAAAAGAATGAGTCTCAGAAACCCAGAGGCAGCTCGACCCCGTCCTGGAGGGTCGCTGTGACTCACAACTGACTCCATGGCAGTAACTTTTTTTTTTTTTTAATTTAGGAACTAATAATTGTCTTTCCTTTAAAGCCACCCCCTTGTGGCATTTCTGTCACAGCCCAGCTGGGCACACTCACACACTCAGCCACGGTGTAGCTTCCCAACCACTAAGCTTCACACACGTAGCCCCCACCTCAGGTCTCACCGTGGGAGCCGCTAACCTAGAAATCCAACACCCATCACATTCACCCCCGTAAACAGGCCAGTGTCACAATCCGGGGTGCACCTGGGAAGGGTGTCAACAGACTCCTGGCCAGGCCCACCCTTGGGCAGCAGGGACACCCTTGGGCCCCCGCCCTGGGCACACTGACACTGATGCACAACAGAACCGAACGGTGCCCTGCTCTGTGCTGCCCTGACTGTGAGGGCGGGTCTGCCTGAGGCAGACTGGCTGCGTCAGTCTGTCTCCCTGAGGGAGTCTCCCACTCTCGGACTCCTGTGGATGCGTCCAAAAGCAGGCCAGAAGTCGTGCCCTCCTCGCGTCGAAGGAACCTTCTGGTTCTGTCCCTCCTCAGAATGCTTGCTCCTTCTTCTGAGC